GGTTGTGGTTTTGTATTTGTTGTTCTGCAGTCAATTATTTGAATTAAGTATTACATAAATTCTGCAAATGAATCCATTGCGCAGAATTATTCTACATGTCCTCATTTCACACGTAAAGCAGGCTAAATGTTTCAGACATCTGATTAATGTGGTTTAGCAAATTAATCGCCATTATGTCATGTCTACTGTATCCTAGTTATTTAAGAAACAAACTAGTCTTTGAAGGTGAAAGTTTTTACTGGTAGAAGTTGGTACAAATAAACTATATTTACAGAGGTTAAGGCAAAAGGTGGAATGACATGCATGCTTTTCCCAAAAACATTACTGTACATGCACCTTAAAGTTCACAGAATTACAAAGGGGTAAAATCCCAAACACTGAAAAGACATGGAAAAATAAGTCCTATTTATAAAAATTGAAGTACAAAAATGTTGTACAAGACTTTTCTCTTTACAATACATTGAAGATGACAAAAAAAATCCCAACATAAGATTCAGCAGTTTAAGGTGATTTATCAAAACACATTAGTCACCTGATCAGCTAACATAGTTCCTCCAAATACTGTAATATAAATACCCCGCATAATACCATTTGCCAGTTGCCAAAAAAAGACAATCCCAAATACATAAAGTGCAAAATACTGTCATTTCAAAATCAAATCTTCATTAAAATCTAGTGTGTAAAGTAGTTTCACTACGTTTTCTCTAAAGTGGTGGGGAATGTTGATAGTACAGTAATGATGCACAACTTGCCCACTGCAGCAGAGATTTGGAAATCGTTCTTTAATGAATCTAAACTAAGGACAAAATTTATCAAAAGATACAGCAGTGAAAATGTGTATAAGATAGAACTATTGTCTAATCTATACTTGATTTTAAAATAAATACAAATGTTTAAGGCTTGCCTCTTGTAATACTACCACCAAACACCAAAATCTAAGTGCTCTCCCTTTCAAATGTCTCTAAAATTACACTTTCTAATCCATATTTCTATTAATCAAATTATGACAGTATGAAGAATACCATTAGGATACCCCCCTTTTTTTGGTGTTTAAACTTCTGGGTAGATGTTTTGTTACTAATTACAGTATACGAATGTGAATACATTTTGAAATTAGTTTAAACTTGTCAGTTTCTGTTGCCAATTAAAGGGATAATCCTTGTGAATGTATTTTAGTTTTAATTATTCGCATGAATAAGTCTCTGAAATTATATGGTATATGGAAGTGTTATAATTGCTTTCATATAAGAGATTAAATCATAATAAAGCTGTTTTATTGCCCTGTCAGTTCACATTAATAAAAGTACATTTAAATGTAAGTAAAATACCCAAATATATTCTTAATAAAATAAGCACATCAAATATAAATGTTCTGTACATTTTTCACATTCACACACCACATCACATCACATTACAAATCCTTCTACAAATACAAAAGTCTTATTTTAAAAATAATTGAAAAGAACTGTATAAAACCATTGTGTTTCTAAATCAGTTTAATAAGAAAATAATTTTGGCAACTGTCAAATAATCTCCAGTGAGATTCCAGCTTTAAATATTTTGGTCTGTTTCATGGCTGAATCTATGAGGAGATGAAGCTTTGGACATCAGACTTTCCGTAAGCAAATACGCACAAATAGAACAAAGTAAAAAAGAAAAGAAAAATAATAATGTCCTTAGACACACAAACTTAACATACAAAAAGTGCAAACATGTGCTCCCGTTCTGTCACTCTCACAAAATAAACACTCTCCTGAAGATATCAAATGCAAATACACAAAGAAAGAAAGGTATGTTGCGTTCTACTGTAAACACACTCGGACATTTTCTTTTAGTGATATAATACCTGACTGACAAGTAAGCAGAGCAGAGACAGTATAAAAGCCACACTTCCCCTGAGACAAACATCAATGGCTCCCAAAAAAACAAGTTAAAAGTGGTTTATGGTTTTTCTTGATTGCCAACACACTATAACTGATTCATTTGTCAATTTCCCAAATCATTCATTTAGTTCTCAAAACAAACACATTTCTCAAACCATTCAACACATCCCACCTTGTTTCACATTCCAATTTTCTCATTTTACACCCGCTTTAACCACGTTCTCATTCATAAAACAAACACATAATATAATTAACTTAAGTATCACAATGTGAACTCAAATAGCATGTAATCCATGAGTGAACATGATGTTTAGCAAAACTGATGACAAATCGCAGGATATAAATAGGAGCACAGGTGATTGTGCTTTAGAAAAGACCCTAACACTGGAGATAGAGCTGAACGAATTATCAAAAGGGGTTTTATACTACGTCTTACAGAGAATAATAACGGTACTTTCACTATTCTAATTTATGTACAGTAAAATATAGCACATGTTGTACACCCTCAACCTTGTGATTGTCAAATTAATTTGTTACTATATTGTACTATATTTTTTGCAGAACTGAGAGAAGACTGTCTGAGGGAGGTAGAGGAGGTATTTTGTCAGAAGACCAAGAAACTGCTGTACAGTACTGTATAATATAATGACATTTGACCGAAAGTGCAGAGGATGCAATGGTAATTGAGAGCATACAGTAATGTGTTGCAATGCATACTAGGTTCCTGTTCAGTTCTTTGGTATTTGGTGCTTTTCATCTACTGTAAGATCACTTTAGTGTAATGGAAATATTTTCTTCCTAAAGTTCTTTGTTGTATTTTACTGTACCAGCGAATATATTATTGCCCAGAGGTTTTTGTTACAGTGTTGTGAATTGATCTCACTGCTGTTCTCTGGGCAGGAAAGTAATCTTGGAAAGTATAAGCAAAGTAAGTTTGATTCTAAAAAAAGAGGATATTTTGACTAAAATTAGATTTTGGCCTGGAAGTTTAAGAATGGTTGGTGTGTACTTGATGTGTAGTTTTGAGAAGTTGTAGTTTTGAGATGGTCTTTATAGTTGTGAGAATTGTTGAATTGACTGTGTGTTCGCAATCGAGAAAAAACTATTTAAAACGAATCAATATTCAAACTGGGAGGACGAGTGTTTTCAATCTAGATCACTAAAGGCCCAACACAGATACCACATAATCTAAACAAACACACCCACACACAAACACACACACACACACACAATATATATATATATTGCTTAGCATAAGTGAACACACCCATGCTAAAGTTGACTAAAAAGAGGAATACAAAATCATCTTTTGGAAATTGATCTTAATGGCTTAATTAAAAAAAATGAGGAAAAATCCAACTTTTAAGGACACCAATTTTCTTTGTGAATAAATAATCGTATCGTAAAACCATAAATGTTCTTCCTTAAAATACAGTCAGTCAATAAGTCAGGACACCCCTATGTTAAATTCCCATAGAGGCATTTATTTAATTTTTAAAGGCCAGTTATTTCATGGATACAGGATATTATGCATCCTGATAAAGTTTCCTTGGCCTTCGGAATTAAAATAGCCCCACATCATCACACACCCTTTACCTAGAGATTGGCATGGTTTTATTTCAGTTAGCCTAATAGCTTGTTTGATTTGCACTGAAGAGATGATCTTATGGAAAGTACCCCATAAAAGATGATTTTTTATTCATCTTTTTAGGCAACTTTAGAATGGTGTGTTCACTTATGCTAAGCAATATATATATGGGGAATGGGGAATTGTGCATCTCTCAACTAGCTGCTTAATAAATACTGCATGTATATTAAATAAAGGAATTTCATATCTTAAGCTAGTTTTTTTTTAGCTACATTTGCATACAAGTCTATGGCCTGGGCAACAGTGATCACATAACAGTACTAAATAAAAAAGTAAAGAAAGTTAGAAAAACATGAGCAAATACCTGCAGTTGAGGATCAGCTACGATAATAAGAATAAATGGACAGTGTTCAGGAAATTTCTCAAAGATCATCTGGTGGTAGAGGTCCATCCACAGGGAATAGTGCGTGTTTGTGTGTGTGACTCATGAGAAGAGTGTCTGGTTGGTGGAAGTCTCATCCAGCAAAGCTTGGACAGTAATGCCAACTTTGATCAGCCCCTTCTCCTCCAGAATATGATGTGGCAGACATAATTTATCCTGCAGAGGGAGATTCACAAAGAGGACAAATGAAGTGCTTAGTCAGAGGAAAGAGACAGGGTCCCCACAGTTATATAAGTTAAGGACATTTTCAGGCATGAGAATCTCAAGACATGTAATGTTCTAAAACAAATTATCTTTATTTTAATTATTTTTACATTTACACTCAGCTCAAAACATTTAATTGTTATCAAGAGTAATCCTAGTAATCACAACAACTGTAAATTTGACTGAAAAACCATGAAGAGAAATAAAATGACAAAAAAGCTGAATGCACTCTGTACTAAGTGCAGTTAATTAAACTCATTAAGACTCACCTCATTTAGCAGTGATGCCCAGTATGATATCAGTTATTCAAACAATCAAAAATTCTCTCTCATATAATATAATATTTGAATCTCAAAGCCTAAACACACATACTGTGCTGTTTAAAGATTTGGGGTCAAAACAGTTTTTTTTCTTACAGTATGTTTTGAAAGAAGTCTCTTCTGTGCAACAAGGCTACATTAACAGTAATATTGTGAACTATTTTTACAAATAAAATAACTTTTTTTCTCTTTAAATGTAATTTATTCCTGTGATGGCAAACCTGAATTTTCAGCAGAAATCAATCTAATATGTTGATTTGCTGCTCAAGAAATATTTCTTATTTTTTTCAATGTTACACAAACCGCTTTATATTTTTGTGGAAATTGGAAATACATTTTTTTCAGGATTCTTTGACCAAAAAATAGCATTTATCTGAAAAAGAATTGATTTGAAATACAAATCTTTTGTTACATTTAAAATTCTTTACTGTAACTCAATACACTGAGCCCTTGCTGAATTCATTCATTCTTTTCAAAAAACAAAAATATATTACTGACTCCAAACGTTTGAACACTAACAAGACAAAAACGTCTTAAAAGAAACAACCACAAAGCTGAGAAAATCAACCTGAACTGTACAGTACATTTATTCCTTTTCATATATAGGATCATAAAAACCAATGCCTTACAAAGTCCATAAGCGGCAGCAGCAGCAGCACTGCACATAATTCAACACTGAGACGAGTCAAAGAGTGTAGATCTGGACAAACAGACACAGCTGATCCGTCAGAGCACCCCATGCAGTCTCGTTTAAGCCTTTTACAAACACTATATGCATTTGGTAGCTTTTTTGAGATATGAGCAAACAACTGGGAAATTAGAGTCAGTATTGAAGAGTCAGTATTGCCTTTTATTTTTGACAAACTGGATGATGAAACATACAGAAAAGTGTTTTATATTTTTAAGTAAATGATGCCAAGAGGCCTCGGTGACATCACTGCTCAATTGATAAAAAGTTCTTTTAAATGATTCCTTTTATCTGTGATGAGATGGACAAGGTCATTCTATTATGTGAGATAAATATCAGAACCTAAAATAGAATCAGAGGATCCAATTAGAATCAAGAGAAACTCTGTGCACAGACCTTCACAGCAGGTAATTACATACAACAGAGATTGCACTTGCAATTATTGAACTCATACAAATTGGGTTCATCTGATATTTCATAATTTAAAAACCTGACTTAGCCCTTTATTACAGATCACTGATAGAATGCATAAAGAAAATCTTCATGAAGAGTCCATTATTCCTCATTGTTTGGTTTGGATTAGTCACCTCTCTGTAGAATTATGCATATTACATTAATTGAAAAATACATTTGTTTCCCTCTGTGTGTTATTTTGCTTTTCTGAATAACAGGAAATTAAAGAAATTATCGATTTGTCCTATTCGGATCTCTCTCATTAGGAGAAAGAAAATGCTATGGATGGTGTTTTGGATAAAATAACACTGTAATCAATTTTCAATAACACACCAAACTCGAAAAAACACTGTTAACCAAAAGTTGCTGCTTTTTACATCCAACAGATTAATTAGCCCTTATGCTAATGATTAATATTTTAACCTCACCATACAAGACTTCTGTGCAAAGCAAAGCTATCGTTTTGCTTTAATGACATCTGGGCCTTCACTTACTCAAGTGTCCTCATACTACCATCTATAAATTGTTTCTTTGAAGCAGACCTTGATTCCTATAGATACATTGCTGGTGGCATGACTGGCATGAGGCAAAACCCCCCTATCCGTTTCTTTTATTTTTGTTTTGTCATGCAGATGCTAGTACTATGACACTTATATTGTTTATATGTTAACTTTACAAGAGGACCGGCAAAATGTTCAGCGTTATGACTGTTGAAATTCAACTTTACTCTTAAAAATAAAGGTTCCAAAAGGAGGTTTTCGCAGTGATCAACATTTTGGGTTCTTTAAATCAATTCTTAGAAAAGTACCTTTTTTTTTCTCGGTGTGATGAACATTTTATATAATCTAAAGAACATTTGTCCACCATAAAGAACATTTTGTGGAATAAAAAAAGTTAAAGGTTCTTCATGTTAAAGGTTCTTCATGGAACCAATAGAGAACCTTCATTTTTAAGTGTTTCTGCAACAAGATTTAGAGACTGAAAGTGAGTGAGAACGTGGCCATATGTCATTCCTTATTAAAGTGCTCAGTGCACCTCTAGCGTACATGTTAGCAAAGAGTCTGTTTAAAGATGGCTTCCTCAGCATTTTGCAAAGACTTATAAATATTATATTCGCAAACTAATAAATAATATTTCTTCAAACATGAAATCATCAAGTTCCTGTATTAAGGAGCACATGTTGTATTACAAAAATGTTTTGTGTTACAGTATGTATGGTTTCACCATAGCCAAGTTAAGATATATACGTTTTTTACAAATAAAATTTGCTCCAACTAGGGTGACCACCCATCCCGCTTTGCGTTGTACCGCACAGCATTTTCACTCCTTGTCCCGCACGATGCATATTGAGGAAATGTCCCACATTTTCATCAGTCTATTGGTTTTTAATTATCATATTAAGAAAACGTGCATGCGTTCTTTTGCCTTTTTTCTTTTTGCAGCATAGTTTTTACCTATACATATAAGACTGTCTATCTAATTTCATGTTGTTTTATATTTTATTTGTTCATTGTTTATTTTGTTGGATTTTTGTTGGACTTGGTCAGAACTGTTTCTAAAATAGTTATCTGCATGATGCCCGCTGCCTTTGGGCTCAGTGATGTTGAATTTAAATGACATGTAAAATAAAGATTTTTGCTACCACAGGAACTGAAAATTCTTGGGACAGCAGCACCTGTCTAAAAAAAACAATTTCATCAGATTTATTCTATTTCATCAGAAATGATCTTAAAACAGGGCTTAATTGTAAAATTCATGTCCTTTAAGTTATGTTTTAGTGTTGGTAACAAGTCCTAAATTGTCCCACACAAACTTATAATCGTCCCACGTTTGGTTTGTTTGATGGTGGTCACCCTAGCTCCAACTGACAGGGATACATATTTTCCTTCAAAAAACAAAAACAAACAAACAGGCAGTGTCCATTTTAAGACGTTCAATGTGCTTTTTCAGACAATGAATGATATAATGGTGTTATTTGTGTGTTTTAGTGTATACATATTATTTAAATTCACTCCAGCTGTAGGCCACAAACAGCATCACCAGACAGAAAACGTGCAGCAGACTTGAGCCAATCAGATCCCATATTTGCCAGGAAGGAGGTGGAGTCTGAGTGGACTCGGGGATAAGCTTCTTGACCTCTGTCTCTTTCTCCCTGCCACCCTCCACCTTTCCTTCCTTCTGCCTTGTTCCTGTGCTCTCCAACATGACCAAGGCCGCGACCAGGGCCCAGAGTGGACGCAGGTTACACTGCAGAACGTCATAAGCCGAACAGAGAGAGGACTGAGAGAGATTCAAAACATAGAGGGGATGACAAAAAAGAACCCGGAAGAGGAAGAAAAGAGGAGAATAGGGTAAGAATGAAGTATAGATAGAGAGAGAAACAAAGGGAAAATAAAACCAAATGAGAAGAAGAGAGATCATCCGTTCGGCACCAGAGAAAGATAAGGAAGGTGATTAGACAGTGACAAAGGTCAAAGGTAAAATGCTTTGAGCTCAATAAACGGTAAGAATTCTGGATCATTCTCAGGAAACAGTGCCATGTGTAAAAAAATGTGTGTACCTATGACTTACTTTAGTTAACAAGAAGATACTGGACTAAATCACATTGTTTGATACATTTCACTCGATTTAGTGTGTACTGCTAAAGACAGTTTTGGGTTATAACCAGTGTTCTGTTCATTTACCTCTTCATAAATGATGTTTTCTGACCTATTTAAAGAAATGACATCATAATATTTTTGTGGTTGAACCACATAGTTACAGTATTTTATGTATTTCTATTTGCTCACACATATTGGCATCATCCATTTCAATAGTTCAGCTTTTCTTTTATATATTATTCTTGGCACAGTACATTTGTTTTTCTTCAGAAATCAATCTAATATGCTGATTTGGTGCTCAAGAAACATTTTTATTATTATCAAAGTTGAAAACTAAAAATGTAAATCTTAAGTAAATGTAAAACAAGGTAGAAAAAAAATCCTCAAGTTTTCAAGCACAAATGGCACCATTTCCAGAGAAGGACCCTCTTACTGCCTTCTGAAAAAGAGTTTTCCGAGAGAGAGTTGAACGTTATAAGTCAATGTCTCTGTTTCAGAGGGCAGCTGTGGCTGGGATAGATGCAGTTAGCATGATGGTTAGCAGAGCATGTGAAGTAGTGAGTAGTGAGAGTATGCCAGGCACAAGTCGAGCTACAGCGTTAAAAACTGTACAAAGCAAGAGAGTTGCAAAAGCCAGCAAAGAGCAAAGCAGGTCAAGCTACACTAGTGCGTCACTCAACAATTACACTACACCTCTAGTAAGTTAATAATAAAAACAATGATATACTGTATAAACCTAACCTACTGTATATAAGACCAGAAGTTACCAAACAAACAAGGCTTGCCACATTATCTCTAAACAGAATAAACTAGCCTGTTAAACATTAACAGCTACACGTAACAGGGCAGCAAACACAAAAAACACATACTGACAAAGCTAGCTGCCATGCAGACTTAAAGTAGCTACTGCTACTACAGACACAAGCTATGACAACTATAAGGTTCCAGTACGGCACACTCATCAGAACAGCCTGTTATGAATGGCTTGGACCAAGCTCAACCCATAAAGACATGAAGACAACATCTGGGTTCCTACTAGAAAGGCAACTGATATGGTAGTCAGAATAACCATTTTTTGGAGAGCAGGACGGCAAAACCAATAGAAACGTTTGGACAGTTTGAGCAAGAATGTAAAAAGTGGAACACATGCACACAAAAAGAGATCAACAACAAACATTTCGTCCATGTTTCAAAGTAACATGGTCGTTGTGCTCATTGTTACTAATTTGGACAAAAACGAATTGCTTCTAGTTTTGTGTTCAGGAAAATGCATTACGCACATTGTTGCACTGAAATAATGGATTTATGGACGATTTACACAGAAATTCACTATTCCATTCCATTGTCTGTTCATCACTCTCTGTCGCAGCTTGAAGAAACATGATCATTTATCAGAGAGCAGGTCAAAACCAGTAACAGGATGGAATGAAGCTCTGGAAATGGATAAAGCCTAAAGCCATGATGAAAACATCTTTATACAAAGGCATGATGCAGCTCTAGTATGAGGTTGTGAGAAAGTGCCTGTTACTGCTGTTCTATGATCAGTTTTCCCCCAAATCTACTGAATAGAGAAGGTCCAGGATGTTTTTGAAGCTGCTAAACACAAGACTCCAAAACGTTTAAAGGCATGACCGATCATAGGCCAGTTTGAGGCAATCTCAGCTGCTTCAACCAATCAGATTAGGGGTGGCTGATCAAAATAAGTTGTCATCTAGTGATAAAATGTTTTTTTTAACCAGAACCTGTTTTTAAGAAGCCCTGGGTGTACAGGTTCATTTTCACAAAAACTCATTTGAACTATTTGGTCAGGTTTCCCAGAAAGAGATTTAGATATGTCAGGAAATTTAGTGGAAATCCCCTTTAATAGTCCACTTCAATGACAGACAAGTTATAATCTGTCAAATGTATAGGATCAGATTCGCGGTGAATTTTTCACCAAATACGAATTAGACTACAGTCTCTTAAACAGCTCAGTAATACCAGCAGCTAGAAATATGAATACCAGAAGAGCTCCTATTTACTTTAATGGGGAAAGACTGGAACTGTTAGAAACTGTCAGTAATAGCACATTTCGAATAAGCAACCGAAACAGACAAAAATAGTATGATAAATTCTACTTCTTTCATTCAGTAAAACTAACAAAATATTTAATCTATGATTGACTTCTTATACTGAGAAAAGAAATCATTTCACACCACCACAAATAAATGAATGCTTTTAATTTAGGACAGTACATACTGTAAGAGACTAGTACAGAAAAACCTGTACAAACAGTGGCCCTTGAAAAACAGATCTAGTTAATTTGGCATTCACAAAAAAAATAATTACATATTCACCTGAGGGACTCCCATTTTCCTGCAGGCGTCCAAAAAGTTTTCAACATTTCTGCGACACTTAGCCATGCTAAGCTTGGGCTGAAGGTTTAACGTGTCCATGTGCAGATATAAAAAAAAGAGAAAAAAAAATGGTTAACAGACTGCAGTCAACAAACACTACTGTTCAAACGTTTGGGGTCGTTACGATTTTTTTTTATGGAATAAATTTATTAATGGAATAAAGATTTCCATTTCATATACATGCTGTTCTTTTGAACTTTCTACTCAAAGAATTTCTGAACAAAATAAGTAATGTTTATTGAGCATCAAATCAGCATATTATAATGATTTCTGAAGGATGATGTGACGCTGGACACTGTAGTAATTAAGCTTTGCCATCAAAGGTATACAAACATTTTAAAATATATTAAAATTGAAAACAGTTATCTTAAATTGTAATAATATTTCTCAATATTACCGTTTTTACAAAATGTAGAATAAGAGAATTCAAAAATTTAAACTTAAAAAAATATATATTACGGACCCCAAACATTTGAAAGGTAGTGTACAGTGTTTGTGTGAATGTGCAGATCATTCAGAGATGACTCACCACTGCAGGGGATGGTACGTGGATACTGGCCACTGAACGCGGCTGGATGTGATTGACTAAGTGACAAAGCACGACCCCATCCATGAGAGAGGAGCCCAGATCTCCAGGAAGAGCTACTTTCAGTCGGCTCTCAATGCTCTGCCAAAATAAGATTAGGTAATAAATACACTCTTTTAGTTTAAATATAAAATCTTGTGGGGTCATTTTTAGTCAGTCAAGTTAACTGACCAACTAACTAATACAGTTAGTTTATATACTTTGCTTCTGTGTGAGTTTGTTTCATACCTCTCGTAGTTGCTCTGTGAGCTCCAGCTCCTCTCGGAGCTGCTCCATCTTTCTCCTCATGGTGAACTGAGGATCCACTGATTCCAAAGTCTTTTGCGTCCTGAAAAACACTGTCACACAACTGAACCGTCATCAGTCTGCAGAGAGCATGTTATATCTCTTGTCTTATTCGCATAGGCATAAAGACACAATTTAAAGTAAAATCCATCATGATATGGATTTAAAACTCTAAACTTTAGGTAACATATGGCGATGTCACTACTTTTGACATTATGCTGATTTTTAACAGACAAAAGGCTTTTATTTTCATTCTTTATCACAATGAACATCCTGTCAATACCTGACAGCTCACAGCCTTTATTATATGACGTTTCCCCACAAGGGGGAGCACTGGTCAAGACATGAGAGAAAGGAAGATTTAGAAAGACAAGAGCACAACACTTCATTCCACACATCTGAGTGTGCTTCTGTAGTTGCATAACTAGTCATCCTGTGAAAAAATGAAAGGAAGAGGACAGTATGAAAGGAACACTAAAAGGACGTTATTCCAGAACATTCCTCCCTCTTTTTGTTGTCTCACAGTTTAAAGCCCTGGAGCCATGTTTCTGTGCTTGGACATTAATGTAACACAGCAAGCATGAGCCAGACTTCTCTGGGCAGCAAAAAAAATAAAATAAAAAGTGTGTGTGTGTGGTCCTGGTAAACCCTATATTAACAAATGTACTTTGATTGGTATAGGTTTAGTTGTAGGGTTAGTGTAAGGGGATACGATATACTGTACAGTCCCCAAAAAACAAAACAAAAAAATGCAACATGTATGTGTCTGTACCTACTTACAATTTTGGGACACATTCATAGCCCAAAGTGAGCTAAATCTGACAAAATCTCATTTGGTAAAAATCAACTTTTTTATTGTAAAAATACAGGTAGGATAACTAGGAGTACATAAAAACAGTCAACAGAATGTCCCCATGTAGATGGCTAAATGTGTGTGTATGTGTGTGTGAGAGAGAGAATCAGAGAGAAAAAAAAGATGGCTTAAAAGTCATTTATCATGCTTCAGAGAGGCGACTCTGTGTTTTACAGACTACTTTCTTAAAAGTGTGTATTTATTATGTTTATGTACACTTATTTTTTTCTGCCAGCCTAACATAGAAACACTGACTCAACCAATGGCTTAAGTTTTGGCGCAGGGCTATCTGTTTTTTTCAACAATAGCAATCCGAGCAGTGTTTGAAGTTTGAAAACAGGTTTTTTTAAGCTAATGACACAAATTAAACTTTAACTTAAAAACAAAGTATCTTTCTCCCACATTTTCTTTAGTTTCGATCTCAACATCTCATCAACAAACTTACAGGTCAAAGAGAGAAACAACACACAGGAGAATTTCTGACATCTAACAGGAAGTTACAAATTTTCCAAGTTCTCTAAAAGTATTCATCTTATGGACAGAAATCAACCTCAATCTGAACACCACATCATTCACAAAGTGCATAATTGCTTATTTTCGTTAATAATCATCCACCCATCACTACCTCTTTCTCTTTCTTTCTCGTAAGACGATGAGCAAGTACACATGTCTCTTGGCAGTTTTACATACTCTGAAAGCATTTCCTCTTAAATGGAGGTCTGATGTTCCCTCTGGGGCCATTATCTAATGCTTCAAAATAGCAGCTCTATAAATACACGCATCTCCATTTAAAGCCACTGGGCCACCCCAAATTTCAGCTCAACCACATCCTCTCTTTCACACCGATGTGTTTTAAAAGACCCTTTAATGCTACACAAACCTCAGAAACATTTTTTTACTTTCAAACAGAAAAAATGTCAGTACATGAGTGACTACTTTACTATGGTCAAAGGAAGTTCATTTAAAAATTAAAATTTCTATTCTCATTTACTGACAAATCTGTGGAACATAAAATAATATATTTTTAGAAATGTCTGTTATTTTTGTCAAACAATGGAAGTAAATGCTCAACACCACGGTTTGGTTACCAACATTCTTCAAAATATCTTATTTTGTCTTCCACAGAAGAAAGAAAGTCATACAGGTTTGGAACGATACCAGTAAATGATGACAGAATTTTCATTTTTGGATGTACTAACCCTTTAATTGGAAGCTGGTGCTGGGGTATCTTGTCAGGAAATGATTATTTAATTAATTTTTTCCACATATGAACTTTCAACCAAACACTGATTAAAAGTGAAATGATGGTCAATAGGCTTAAGTATTCAGCCATATCTGAAAAATAATTTGCCATTTCTAAAAACTGATACTCATGCATTAAAAAAAAAGCTTTTTACGTTGTCTGAGGATAATGAAAATAATGCTTGCCAAGCAAAAATCTGCTGCTATCATGCTCAGGTACTATGGGTGGTTGCCAGAGCGTTACAGTTGAGGGTTGCAAAGCAGTTGCTAGAGTGTTCTGGGTGTTATTAGGCATTGATATGTGGTCTCTAGAGAGTTGTGTGTACTAGGGTGTGGCTAGGGTGTTCTGAGTGCTTTAAGGTGTATTCACATTTCTATGATAGAGACTCAATGCCTTAGCAGTCAACAAAAAAGGGAAAAAAATACAGAAAAAGAATACAAATTATAATATATTATAATGAAGAATAAAAACACCTGACATGTTATCTTTGATAAGAAAACACAAAGAGATAAACTGCAAGGTATGTGACTGTACAGGACGATACATTGAGCAGACCTACCACTGCTTGGCATGTCTCCTTCAGCTGGGCTAGGGGGCGTGTCTCTATCGGTGGGCAGGGCCTGTGTAAGTGGGAGGGGACAGGGCCGAGTCGAGCATGGCACAGAGGGCGAAGCTAGATGCAGGTATCAACATAAAGGGCAGTGCCAGTAGGAGGAGGAGCCAAACAAGGGATTTTCATTGGAAAACCAAAGGAAACCGGCAGGGGTTTCAGGTATCAGTCAGAAAATGGGAGGATGCCAAGCAACAGTAGTTTGTGTAATAAGAGCACACAAGCAGGCAAGCAGTAGTTCAGGGAAACGGGTAAATAAAAGGGAAGAGAATGAAACATGAAGATATGCAAAGCAAAGAGACATGTAAATACAGCACAACACGAAAGAGAAATATTAAAAACAAATGAAGTAAAGGTTAACAGTATTTCAGTACCAGTTTGTTAGCATGCTGTTACAAATGACTATGATTTATGTCAAACTCTGGGCATGATAATGCTGTTAAAGGGATAGTTCACCCAAAAATAAAATTCTGTTATCATTTACTCACAAGTTGTTCCAAACCTCTATACATTTCTTAGTTCTACTGAACACAAAGGAAGATGTTTTGAAGTTTGTAACCAAGCTGCTTTGAGGCACCGTTGACTCTCATAGTATAAAAAAGTGTCCTAGAACTGTTCAGTTTCCCACATTCTTCAAAATATCTTCCTTTGTGTTCAACAGATGAAAGAAATGTATACAGGTTTGGAACAACCTGAGGGAGAGTAAATGATGACAGAATTTTCATTTTTGGGTGAACTATCCCTGTAATGTTAGACATAAATAACAGATCAAAGATAATGACGCAAACACTAGATTAGATGTTAGAGGGTGAAGCAAAAAGAAGGCTCTATGCAGCTAAACAAACAGCTACATCAATTAAACTGCATCCAGATGAAGTCAAGCAAGTAGTTTTGTCTATGTATTTAACTACACATTAGTAATGTATGGTAAATGTATGTGTAAATAAACAGAAATTTATAGGAGATATTGAGCTGCCATGTATTATTTTCTAAACCAGATGCAGTTTAGCCCCCAAAGCCAAGAGAGTAATAATAAACAGCAGCATATATATGCATAAAAAGCCCGACTGTAATGTTGCATGGCAGATATGAGCTTGACAGGATAACAAGAGTTTGCCAAAAAGATTTTTATACACAAACACTTCGACCTCGTATTACTTAAATTTGCTGATAATAATGAGAGAGCCCAAATGTGGACCATCCTCTAAAGTGCAAAGCCACCCATGCCAACCAGCGCGCATTGGCACCATGTGTGTTAGTAAAACAAAACTGTTCTCACCTGATCTGGGCTTCAGACCAAAGGGGGGTGAGCTCAGTGTGGGGCTGGAAACTGGGGTTTTGTCTTCATTCTGCTATATGACACAAACACACTCAGCACAAGTGCACTGAACCAAGTCAAATTCAGTTTTTATAAATGTAAAGTGCACCTCATGATCAGAGCAAAGCCATGGTAACATAAAATGGTAATGGTAACATTAAAAAGATTTACCTCTGTAACTTGGTTCTCACAACTATCATATGATCCTTCCAGGCCAATTACGTCACCCTATGAGTAAGAAAAAACAGGCTGTGAGATTCTTGAGATGATGTAAGATGTTAACAAACAAGCACTTTAGACATAGTGAAACAATGCATCACTGTTCTCAGACTCGATTCGATATGACTCGGTCTTTCTTTCTCTGTCTCTAACTGTTAGTTTTTCCTCTTTTATTAGATAATTGCATGATTCTCAATCCCCACGAGTAAATTTACTTTTAATTTCTATTCAGTTCATGTAGGCTACATTATGGGCTAAAAGTACATGAACCAATATGCTGGCTCCATAATAAGATGTGTTAGAAGTTTATTTACAGGTTGCGAATTTGAGGTTGGACCCAACAATGTAGGGTCTGCAGCATCTTTGATGAGTAGCTTTTTTTCTGTGCCTGATTGACGAAGCAGTCACTCGTGAAATGTGCAGAACAGACGGTTGAACTAAATTGCTGTGGTATTTCCGAATAAATAAACATTAGCCACTGGTCTCTTATATCAATGTTGTTCAGAAGCCTGTTGTCTGGGGGTTGGGTAAAAGGAGGGAGGGACATGGGCAGTGTTCGGGGTGTTGGTCAAGTCAAGTCACAAAGGCTTGTGAAAAGGAAAAGCTACTTTATGCAGGCAGTGCGTATTTGTCTGTCGATTGACTGTTTTCAAAACGTATATGGTAGTTACATACTGTAGCCCTAAATCTTGCAAGATTTAGTTGCACATAATGGAAGTTCAGCCAGAAGAGCGTAGAAATAACCAGGGCCTGGACAAGAAACTGAGCAGGTGACACAGCTTCTTGTCCAGGCCCTGGTTATTTCTAGGCTTGATTACTGCAATGCTTTTCTGGCTGGACTTCCATCATGTGCAACTAAACCTCTAAAAATGATCCAGAATGCTGGTGCACATTTTGTCTTCAACGAGCCCAAAAGGGCCCACGTCACTCCTCTGTTCATCTCCCTGCACTGGCTGCCACTCGCTGCTCGCACCATGTTCAAGGCGTTGACACTTGCTTACAGAGCGACCAATGAAGCCTACGATCGATCAATGAGCGACGGCTCATGGTACCATCACAAAGAGCCACAAAATCACTCTCCAGAACATTCTCATTCACGGTTCCATGCTGGTGGAATGATCTGCCCATCATCATCCGGAATGCAGAATCCCTGACAGCATTCAAAAGCCAACTGAAAACGTATCTCTTCCGCAAGCACTTAACACAACTTCTTCACGATGACTTGTTTGGTTTAGTCCTGACTCCTCAGATGTAAGTCGCTTTCGATAAAAGTGTCTGCTAAATGACTAAATGTAAATGTAGCCCCTAGACCTCTGTTATCATGGAAAAAGCAAGGAAATTTTAGTTTTGACAATTTGGGACTTTTAAGTGAAAATCACATAATATATGGATGTAAACATGGCAAAATCTGCTAAACAGCTTGGAGTACTTCACTGTAGATGACAGCACAATCAAATTCTAGTGTTATTGTGAATGATTCACCAACATTTAACATATTGTTGATGAATCATTCACAATGTTTTGTCTCAAGGTGCACACCAGTAATTTTTTTTATTTTTTTCGAAGGCATGTTTATAAAAGCTACTTAAATGTCCTAATTGACCAAAGGCCTAAGTCCTGCCTTAATCTAAACCCGGTCTGTGAAACCAGGCCTATGTGTCCCACAGAAGAAAGAGAGTCAGTTTTGGAATGACAAGAGTCAGAGTAAGAAAGTTATATTTTTGCTTGAACTCTCACTATAACTATAAACTATAACACAAACCAATAGACAAAAAACAAAACTATTTTAGCACTGCTTTAGCAATCTGGTATCTGGTGTGGAGCACCCACTTTTCAAGATCCAGTCAATTCCAGATGGATAAAATCAAGCTCTGTTTTCACTCAGAAATGTGTCAACTACAAAAGTAAAAAAAGTTGCAGGAATGAGAATTCACATTGATTTTAATGAGCGAATATGACGTTACAATTCTGCTGAAATCTGCAGAGACATATTATGAGTTCTGTGGACACAAATTCTGTGTGGGTCTTCTGGGAATGAACTACATGTTTACAATAGCACAACTACAACAAGAATGAAGTCACCGCAGCACAAACAAAAAGCACACATGTGGCAGCTACATCGGAACCACTTGTTTGGGTAATTCGGTACAAAGTGAACTGCATAAGAAAGACAAACACATTAGCACCGAAATATGAATCATCCACATGAATCAGCAGCTGACTTGTACAAGTTGGCCAAACAGGGTGTATCTATAGGCTGGATGGCAGGATTTTCAGATTACCTGTTGTGCCATGTGCAGGGCATACTGTTGGCATGCGAGCTGGGCCTCGAGCCGGGCCCGTTCTAGAATGTACTGTCGCTTCCTCTGGAACTCCCAGCATTCTCCAGGAGCCGCCTTCAATGACAATCACTGCTCTTAAGACCATGACACTACGGCTTACCAACCACATCACACGTCACACTGGTAAAAGCAGACCTGGAGTCTAACTGCCTGTAACTATAGCATAGCTACCAGGCTAACCAGAACCGTTACACACCATGGCTACAGATAATTACAGTTTTATCTTTAATAATAGTCAACAGCCTTTTCATCCAAATAATCAGATCACGACACAGGAAACTACGCACAAAAACATCAAACACACACACACACACACACACACACACAAAACTACACCGATAGAGCACTGCACACCGACAGCACAACATATACTACCGTTCAAAAGTTTGGGGTCAGTACAATTTATTTTAAGAGAGAGATAAATTAATATTATTAAGCAAGGATATATTAAATTGATCAAAGGTGAAAGTAAAGACATTTATACTGTTACAAAAAAGTATTTCAAATAAATGTCCCTTTGAATGTTCTATTTATCAAAGAATTAAAAACAGTGTGTTTCTACAAAAATCTAAATCAACACAACTGTTTTCAACACGTTTCTTTGGCACCAAATCAACAAATTAGAAGGATTTCTGAAGGTGAAAAAAGACTGGAGTAATTGTTGCTGAAAATTCAAGAATAAATAACAATATTAAATTAAATTAAATTAAATTAAAATAGAAAACAACAATATTTCACAATATTAATGCTTTTACTGAATATTAATGCTTACTGTGAACAAATAAATGCAGTCCTGGTGAGCAAAATAGACAATAAAAAAGTTGTACCAACCCAAAACTTTTTAAGTTCAGTGATGGTGCTTCAAACCACATGGCGCTTTGTAATCAGAGAGGCTACTGTGAGTGTGGAACTTCATTATTTTCTTTGGTCCAGTTTAGGTAAAGGATTTTTACAGCTGCTCTTGAATTAATGAAAAACTAAACTTTTGATATTATAAACCCTATGTAAAATGTCACATAAACATTTTAAAAGGTGCATGAAAGGCAATACGACTGGGAAACGAGTCAACATTCAACAATAGCCCATTGATCTCAGAGGAACTCTAGAGAAACACTGCAGTCTACAGAGCGACTAAACAGGGGAACTGAACAGGATGCTCAGAGGAACTGGTAAGGTGCTGTAAGTAAAACTTATCAAATATTCATAACTTTTAAAAATGTATATAACTTAGACACATATGTACTGGCGTTTTACCTTAAGTGTCGACTGACTCTCGTCACTCTCTTGGCCACTGCAGGAAGACGAAAACAACAATGATGCGTTGGCAAACAATTAAACATGCAAAGCAGCATTTGAATGTACTACTACTACTATTTTGTATTTAGTGTAAAATATTTAAGCTGTGATACTAAAGTCACTTACTTGAGCGACTCGTCTACTGTAACCATTTCCACGGGGTAAAGCTTAATACCAGAGAGATCAGCCGAGTTCATGTTAACCCTTTACATAGACAAAAGGGTCAAGTTTATCTGTAAAGCACTTTTCACAGCACATATTATTTCTACTGAGACCACCATGAATGTTGTGGCATGTTGTATAGTTTTTTACCAATGCTAAATATCTAACTCAAAGAAATTCATCCGATATTAACAGTGACTTTGCAATATTGATTAAATATAGAACTCATTTGAAAATCAGAAAATACTGACTTGTAACGGGAGGAGGATAAAAATAAAATGGATTGACCTACCTGTTAGGATCCTGTAGCATCTCCACAGCTTCCTTTAGCTGATTGATCATATTGACCTTTGACCTGTTGAACAAAGTAACATGATATATATATGTATTAGGGCTGTGCAAAAGTTAATTGCGATTAATCGCATCCAAAATAAAAGTCTGTGTTTACATAATATATTTGTGTGTGCTGTATATAATTATTTTGTATATATAAATACCTATGCATGCATGTATATATTTAAGAATTATTTGCGCTTAAATTCTGTATATATTTATAAATACATAATCTATATTATATAAATATAAATATTTTATATATGAATAACACATTTTCTTAAATATATACATGCATGTGTGTGTGTATTTATATATACAAAATAATTATATACAGCACACACAAATATATTATGTAAACACAGACTTTTATTTTGGATGCGATTAATCGCAATTAACTTTTGCACAGCCCTAATATGTATATGGTTTAACTACTGAGCAAATCAGTAAGAAAAGATAGAAGAGATACAGGCATAAAACAAGAAGAATAAATATACAGATATAAACGTACGTTTGTTCTGAAGCCCAGTTGGTGTCTTCCTCTATCCTGAGGGGCTCATCGAAGTCAGCACCTCGACCCTTCAAACACACACATACACACACACACACACACACACATCAACTTCAGCTGCAAACTCAGTCATGTGACTGCAAACTAAAGGCCTGATTTGTTTGAATTTAAATTCAACCAGATCCAGCACTGGCTGTTTGAGAGGGTGATGCCAGACACAGATGGGAATACACACACCCCTTCATACGCACAATGTCCCTCTAGACGTGGATTACTTCACAAGGGAACTGCTAATGCACAAATAAACACTGTCAGTGCCAATCCTATGATGTAACAAGATGTTATCAGATAAACTAACAGTTACTGGAACATAGAACAGTATTCCAAGAGAGGTAGATTAAAAATATGACAAGAAAATAATGGAATAAAGGGAAATAGGGCAGATCAAAACAGGAAAAAGATGTTTAATATACTCCAGCTAGGGCTCAAACTAGAACACTATTAAGAACTATTAAGTGAAACAGCCAACATTAAATAAAAAATAAGCATAGTAAAAAAAAAACCCCAGATCAAACCTGTTTTAAAACAGATCAGCCCACCATGTTTTGTAAATTGGAGGCAATTACTCATGAATCGTTCAGGGGGGAAAGAAGTAGAAGATAAAAACCTTAATGACCATTAAGTTTCTTTTGGTTCTCAACCGCAGGCCTCAGTACACCTCAAATGGGATCTCAAGATGACTTAAAATGATTTCAAATAAGATGAAACTGCCAACAAATTGGGACATTTAATATTCAACAATATTATTGATCTGTGTTGTATGATTTTCATGTTATCACTGTGAAGCTGCTTTGATACAATCTGTATTGTAAAAAGCGATATATAAATAAAGGTGACTTGACAAATATTTGTCAAACTGCGAGAAAAAAAAAAGAAAAAAAAAGGTTTTAATTCAACACATCAACAAATACCACTCTTTGAAGAACCATGATTCCCAGTCTAGGAAAACCTGTATACATGAGGATATATGAGCCTAATTTTGGTGATTTCAAGACTTGAAAAATTTCAAATGATTGATGTATAAATAAAACTGCATGTTAATTATTACATACATTTCTAGTTATGCCAAATTCTTATTATTAATACATATCCAGGAAGTAACAAACAACTAGAACAGTCACGGGGACTTTGAATATTGTTGCGGACAATGGGAGGCGCTTGGTGCCAGTGCTGGAGCCAATCAATGAATCAGTTATAGATATGAATACATTTCTAACAGAGCGTGAAAAAGAACAATCTTGAACATTCTTACTTTGATGTAGTTGACGAACGGAGAGCTGAGTGTAGAGTCTCGATAACCCAGATGTTCCTTAAGAGATTCCGACGGACTTCTGTCTGCTACAAGACACATACATATGGCTAAATTATTATATTGACTAGGATAAAGAGTTCTTTTACAGACACTAAATGTAAATCTTAAAGGAATTATAGTGGAGAATTCACTGTCCACAACTTAAAATTGCCTTCCATGTAAATGACTTCCTGTAACTAAATTTGTTTTTTTTTTACTGACAAATCTGACATTATGTCCTAATTGTTGTCATTAGAGCTTAATTGGAACCCTGGAACATTCCTCTAACTCAAAACAAACAGAGACCTAAATAAGTTCAAGTTCTGCAAGTACACACTACAAGTTCAAATTCACAAATGCAGTGTGTACATGTCAAGTAAATCTTATTGAAAGCTTAAAGAGTAAATGACCCTCCCATCAGCTTAACAGTCACACACACTTACAGTACAGCACACACACACACACACACACACACACACACACTTCCTGCAATATTCTCGGTTTTCATCTCCCCTCCCTTAATCCTCCTTATGTGCTGACACTGACTTCCTAGCCAGTATCGACACTTCCCGACCAGGACCCTCCCCTGGGCTTAACCCGGGTCTCATGCACACACCCGCAGGCTGTCTAAAGTCTCACAGTAATGTTATGTCAGCCCAGTAAGAGGATGTTTTTCTTCACAGGCCTTTAATATCCTGTCCACACATGAGGGTGTGTTTGCGTGTGCGAGCAGCACCTGTCAGGGCGCTAATGTGTTCACTGGAGTCGTCCTTGCTCAAGCCCTCCTCCTCTGTGATGTTGGTCATGGGCACGTTTAAGCTGACACTGTCTTCATCTGAAGGCTGAAACACAAAACAACGATAACAATAAATCAATTGAACAAAGTGAATTCACATTAGTGCATGACTTACAAGCGCAGCATTCAATTCACTGTTTCTAATCACTCATTTGAGCCTTCATTTTTTATTTAAGATTTAATTGCCATTATTTTAATTTATTTTATCTTAACCTTCCCATTAGAGACAGTCCACATGTGACCTTCCTCTCTTAGTTTTTCATCCAGCCGCAACACTGTTTCTGGTGATACTGGTGATACCCCATGGCCCAGCAGGCCTTGATCCAACCAGATATTGGCTCATGCTGAAGAGAGAAGACTCTCTCACAAAGAACCAAGGACAATTTCAGGAGTTTGGAAGCAGGACTCCAACCAGCAACGACTCTAATCACCCACTCTTCCAACTTCCTCAATTCTCCTCGGTGCTCTATGTGGCCTCAAGGGCCCCAGGCCTTGACCAAACCAGCCATGTGCTCATGGAGAAAGACAATTTTCAAACATCTTCCGCTTGCCAACAACTTCAAGATTTGTTCCCACTACAAATGCAAGTACTCAATTGAAAATGAAATTCTGCTCGTTCATCTCATAGTTAGATGGATCTTCTCCATCGTTACATCACTCCATCTCTCACTCCTGTTTACAACACATGTATTTATGTATGTTTTTTTTAGTTTGTTCATGTTTCTGATTTAGTTAATAAAACTTGTGCACTTTATGTATTTGGTTCTGATTCACTGCTTGCAAACAAAGTCTCTTTTACGATCTTGATCTTGCTTCATGCTCAAAGTGCTGTACATGCTAAGACATAATTATTCTGTGGCCATGGAGGATAACCTTTTAATTAATAATCAAAAGAGTTCATTGGACGAACTGATTAAATGATATATTATTATAATCAATTAATCAGTTTGTCCAACAAACTCTTTTGATTATTAATTTATTTTAAGAAAATGGTATCTTCCATGGTATCTTCTTAAATAATTTAGCCATGTCAAATTAATCCAATTAACTGACCCAAATATTAATTCAAATAACAAGTTATTATTGATTATTAATATTTGCTAGAGCCAAGTTCCTTACACCAGCTAGACCTTTGTCCCTAAATCATATGAGCTCAGATCAGCTAGTTTTCTCCAGCAAACCAGCCATAAGCAAACTAACACATTAAAAAGTTAACACATGCTTTTAATAGTGTTTTTACCTAAAATTTGCAGCACTGATGAAAACACTATATAGCAGATCAATAGAATTAGACATGCAAACATGCAAAGAACATAGGCAAGATGGCAAGATCGCAATCTTCTCTTCCATTTAAACATGCACATGCACACACACACACACACACACACACACACACACACTGACCTCTGTAGCAGAAAGGCGTTTGTCTCCATTATCACTGCCTACCCCAGAGTCACTGTCAAGTTTCTTGTGCTGATCAATGTCCTCAGTGCTGGGACAAAAAGAAGAGTGGGATTAGTCGTGTAGGACAGAAAGAGAGAAGTAGCCTATGTCCCTCAATAAGACTGGGAAAAAAATCTTTCGGTCTCTCTCTCTCTCTCTCCCTCAGAAGAGTGACCCCCTGCAGTCTATTAAAAGAATTCTCCTGAGATAAGGATGATAATGACAGCCAACACACAGACACGCACGACCTGGATTTTTGAGATTCCACACTATATTCCGAATTCAGATCTTTTTACACACCCACCTAGACGTGCATGAATTGGTAAAATGACAGATATTCTGACTATATAAAGATTTAATATCTCATTTGGCTGACTACGACTAAAAGAACATTGGTTTTGACAATATATTCGGATCTCTTTCCAGTTTATAATAAAATAAAATATAATAAAATATAATATAATATAATAACATAACATAACATAATATAATATAATATAATATAATATAATATAATATAATATAATATAATGCAGTTGTTGAAAAATATTATATATTGCCTAAAATTGTTTTAACTGAATTAAAGGGGTCATGACATAGATTCTTTTGTTCCTTGACCTTGAGGTTCACTTATAACATTAAGTTTTTAAAAGACACACACACACACATACACACATATATATATATATATATATATATATATATTTATTTATAGTGTGCAACCTGTCAAGAACTACAGGAAACGTATGAACTCTGTAATTGCAAACAAAGGTTTGTGTACCAAATATTAAGGTCTGCTTTTCTGATGTATCAAATACTTATGTCATGCAATAAAACCCAAATTAACAACTAAAAAATCATACAATGTGATTTTCTGGATTTTTCTTTTAGATTCCTTCACTCACAGTTGACGAGTACCTGATAAAAAATACAGACTTCTACATGTTTTGTAAGTGGGAAAACCTGCAAAATCTGCAGTAAATCAAATACTTGCTCTCCCCACTCTATATGACAAATCTTGGTGTTTCATTTTCCTTTCAACTATCACCACAACACAATTGAAATGATCTAAACCCTTTAAACAATTTAATGATATCATTCTATTTGCTAATCATGAGGACTGACCTCCCATTGGTCGGCCTGGTCAAGCTGAGGCGGTCCGTGACAGGAAGGTACAAGGCATCGGCTATCTTGTCACTACGACACGCCTCCATGGCGAGGTATTTAAATATATGAATCTTGCCCTTCATGCAGATCTAAAAGCAGCATAAATAAATTCAGAAATAGTTGTGAGAGCACAGAAGTATAACATGTGTGTGTGTGTGTTACCTGTGCAGGAGGGCTCTGAAGTGGATTGATCTCCAGGTGTAGTGATTGGAGTTGGGTCATTTTTCGATAGCAGACAGGAATAGTAGAAACCTTATTACAGGAGAAATCAAACTTGACCAGGGGTAAATCTGCCAAATCTAAAACACACACACATACAGAAAATTACTAAAACCACAAAAGTCATTACATTTTGCAACTAGGGTTTAAAGTTAAAGTTGCCCCTATTATGCTTTTTCAGATATTATCTTTCATGTAGTGTGTAATATAGCTGTTTATGAATGTAAAAGGCCTGCAAAGTTACAAAGATCAAAGTGCATGATAAAAATTGAGTGTCTCTTGATTCTGAACCACTTGAAACGAGTTGTCAGTAATTCCTCGACCTCAAATTGATATGGTAAAAACGATGCCATCATCACAGTCAAGGTTGATTTATACTTTTGCGTCGGACCTACGCCGGAGCCTCTACGCTTTAGACTACGCGTTGGTTTTAATTTATATTTCAATTACACGTGCAGAGGAAGCATGTGAAACCCGGGGAGAGGTTCTAGCAGGCCAATCACAGCGCTTGCGGCACGCGTAGAATTGAAACGTTGTTACATTTTTGGGAGAGGTGCACATCAGGGCTGCACAGTGTGAGTTCGACGCAGAAGTTTAAATTGGGCTTTAGTATCACAGGCCACCTAGGTAAAAATATTATTTTAGCTTCATGTCGAAATCTTGTAGATAAAACATTTAACCTTTACAACACTGTGTATGCTGTGTAAAAATAAAGTTCAAATATAAAAGCTATGTCCTAAACACTTCAACATAAATCAAACATATAATTCAGTAGCCTAGTTTGAACCAGTGTAAGATTCCCTAACCTTTAAAATTAACTTTACTCTCCTATGGCCACCTTTTTTTATTAAAAAATGATAACACGTTATAATAAGGTTTAATTTTGAAAGCATTAGTTAACATGAACCAACAATTAATGAACAAAACTTTTTTAATGTTAAGCTCAACATTTTATAATACATTTTTATAGATCCAAAGTTTTATATGTTAACATCACTTAATGCAGCACTGTGAACTAACATGAACACAAATATTTTATTAACTAACATTAACAAAGGCTATTGCTCTCGTGCCATAATAGGGGCACTTTAAAACAATATGAAAAAGACACAACAGCTTTTAAAAAAAGCAAATAAGGAATATTCATGTGCAATAAAAATCCTTACATCAGACTATATCATCTTAAATCCAGAAAAAACTTTACTAAATAACAGCAATAAACCAAAGTTGATCTCACAGGCAATCTATAATAAAGCTTCTGCTCCAGATAAGTTTGGCACAATGTGCTTGGAGAGACCGTTACGTATTTTTCATAACCTGCCAGCATAATTTAGCTGAATAATTAGTTGAGCAGCAAAATCTCAGCCAGATCTTTTTGGCCAAAATAAGCTGTTGATGTAACTCCAGCCCTGTTTAAGACAGTGCTTGGCTCACATAATAATTTTAGGACTTTTACTCGCCGTTTTTTTAAAGGAACACACCCACACTTTACGTTTATGTTCTTGGCAGTCAGCTTTTCTTCAGAAAAACGTACAAAATTGTTGTAGATTATATAAGTGCAACAATGAGGTTGAGCATTTTATTTGGCTTTGTTACAATATGTAGTGAATCTGTTGTTCCGAAATTATTGCTTACCGAAAAACATGGACGAAGTAGGGATGTATTGGTCAGACTGGGTAATAGTGTTTAGAACTGGCTTTAGCAAAAGCATGAGATGTTTAGTATTTTGAATATTAAAGTAGTATTTTGAATGCGCTCAATGGGTGTCGTAACTGCATTAACATGTTAGTTTACCCCAAACTTTCCATTCTGTCATCATTCACCCACCCTCTTCCTAACATGTATGTATTCATTTCGTCTTCAAAACGCAAATTAAGTTTTCTGTTCCTCCATTGAAAGTCCATTCCGCCGAAGCATAAGCATATTAAAGAATACAAGAAGGCATTCAATATGAATTGAGAACAAACCGCATCAAACAAGCACTTCTGAGTGTTTGCTTACCATATTTGATGTGCTCTATATATGTATGTGTGTTAGTCAATGTTTATGTTTGATAAAAGTCTAAATTTAATCTATTCATAAATAAAATTTATGAATAAAGCAATTTTTCATAAAGCAATTTTGTCTCTTCAGGAGTTACATTTACATTGTCTTTATGAACATTTAGAGGCATCAAAGTTTTGTTCGCGTGGACTTTCAAAGTGGGGAGGGGGTATTAATTTGTGATTTGAAGAAAATGAATTAAAATCTTTTGGGTTTAGAATAACATGCGGGTGAGTAAATTATGACAGCATTTTTATTTTGGGATGAACTAACCTCCCTTTAATTTACGACACTCAGAGGGCATGAATAAGAAGGTTGGTGGAGTAGAGGTCAAACAAGGGCTACTGTAGATTTCCTGTAGCTGTGGATCTACCGGAGGATGTTTTTATGGGTAATGTGATGAGTAGTGAAATCTTTTCTGCAGAGATAAGAAGGTTGGAGGAGGGACACACACAGAGATTCCAGACTCACCCTCTGGTAGAACACAGAGAAGGTTTCTGTGCACATTGAGTTCCCTCAGAGCTTTGAGTTGGCCAATGTGGCGTGGAAGAGCTGTGATTTCATTACAGCTTACGTCCTGAGGAGAAAAAGATAGGGGACATTTTTTTGAGTTGCATGTTTATCTTCTTCTCAAACACAACTTTCCGTACAAACCTTTCATTACAGTAAGTACTAAGCACTTCTTGTACAGTATTTGGTTGGAAAGTATGAGGAAAAAAGACAGGGAGAAGAACTACCAGAGAATAAAAACTGGAAAGATTGAAAAGCAGTGCATTTAACATAGGCAGATATGAGCCAAGTTGAGAAAGGGTGAGTCAACAAGGGTTGATATCACAAGTATCGCAAACATCTCATGCATATACAGACATCAGAGATACAGCACACACGCTCACACTTACCAGCTCCATGAGATTGGTGAGCTGGCCAATGCTTTCTGGAAGTGCGTTGAGTTTGTTATTGCTGGCATTGAGCACTCGCAGAGGAAGACCACACACACACGCTGGCAGCACTGACAGCTGGTTCCGGCTACAGCACCGAAACATTTAAACAAAAGACGTTACAGCATTTTTCTCAATGCTGCTACTCAAGCAGAAATATTTATCTGGGGGGAATGTTCGAATCAAATTATAATTTGAACCTGAACATAAAAGAAACATAAAAAAAAAAAAAACATGGGAAAAAGAAACATTACAGATGTTAAATATATATAAGGACATGTCTGGTCTGGGCTTCCATATTATCCATTATTCCATTATTATTCCTAATTATCTTCCATCCATTTTCCGTGACCTCACTCAGTTCTCTTTAATCCAATTTGTAAAAAATGTCTTAACTTGTGTGTGTGTGTGTGTTGTTCACCTAATGTTTAGGCAGGTAAGGGACTGAAGGCTGATGATGGTATCAGGAATGCTTTTAATGCAGTTGTGATAAAGATTCAGGGTTTCCAGGGAGACCAGATGACACACCTCTGACGGGATGTCAATCAAGCGATTCTTCGACAGATCTGAGAGAAAAAAAGACAGCTCAGTTAACACTAGCACTTCAAAAAATAAGAAAAAAAGGTTAAAAAAGAGAAGTTAAAAGAGAAGCAAATAGCACAACTTCACATTGCACTTAATGCTACATTTGTTGTTGTAGTACCCAAACTAAACACAAGGAGGTGCTTTCATAATAACAGATATCAATGAAGAGAACACTAACAAAAACAACAGAATGTGTGTGAAGTAGGGGATTCAAAGGTTAAGTATCCTTCCTGAACACACACACACACACAGTTTGAAAGCCATAATTGGTAGTGCCCAAGCTCAGTTAGTATTTCACGTGCCTAAAGGTGATGTCATTGTTTAAATGATGACATTTAACAAATGTGTGTGTAAGAGTTTAACTACCAGATCATTTTATCAAAGTGATTGGTGTTTTACTAAGGCGATGTTTTTTATCTCAAATTCATAGTAATATTAATGAAACAGCAGTTGAATTTGCTTTGAGAGTGTGTGACCAGGGGTGGTAAAAGTACTAAAAAGTTGTACTCGAGTAAAAGTATATATACCTAAATAAAATATTACTCCAGTAAAAGTAGAAAGTCCTCCATTCAAACATCACTTGAGTAAAAGTACAAAAGTATCCGATTTAAAAAGTACTTAAGTACCGAAAGTAAAAGTAAATATTCAAATGAACTATAAATATAAATAATTATGCAGATCAATTATTTTGGGGGTGATATGCAATTATTTAATTGAACAAATGATGAGATTACATACCGCAATTAAAAATTTGTTAGATTTGCAATCATAAGAGAAAATAACAGGAGATTTAAAGGCTGTTAAATATTTCTGTTCACTGTTACATTTTACTGTTTAGAAGATTGATCTCCTTTAAATCTCCTTTATAAATGCTTTACAAGGCATGCATACTCACTTTAGATGAGCTCACAAATAGTTAACTGACCACTAATAAATGCTTTATAACTACCTGTATTTACTACATTTACTTACACTTTCTAAGTGATCTTATGAATGACTGACAACTCTTAAATAACTGGTTTGTAAATAATGCTATAGGCCTACTTCATTTCAGGGGTGCATTTCATATGGCAAAAATATATCACGATTTTTTTTTAGTAAAATCACGATCACGATTTCTTTTCACGATTCTTTTTCAAGTTGGTTTTACTATTTTGCAAGTGGCCGTTCATTACAGCCAATCTAATGTCCCTATGTTAAAAACCAAGACGTAGGTAACAAAAAAAAAGAAAAAAAAAGAAAGGCATACATTTAGGCCAGTGGCGAAGATAAAAATCTTTGTCATTATTTTCTTTGTTATTAAAAAAATAAGACAAGATAAACATTAAACAAATTAATATTCAAATTAAATAAACAGTGTTTTATTTTTTCAGATACAATAGGTGTATTTATCAGTAGCATTGAAGTAATTAAATGAACAAATATGAAATTAAAACACTACATAGACTTCACTGTAAAAATTATTGATTTTTATTAAAGCTACTATTACAGTTCTCAGTCAGTGAGATTTTCTCCTTGTTTTTTTTTATTTTTTATTTTTTTATTAACACTAAAGGTATAGTTCCCTCAAAAATGAAAATTGTCTTAATTTACTCTCTCAAGATGCTTTAACCCCAAATAAGTTTCTTTCTTCTGTTGAAAATAAAAGTTATTTTGAATAATGTGGGTAACCGAACATTTGCTGGTCCCCAGTGTTTAGTTTTTTTCTCTCTCCTGGAGTTTATTGGGGACCAACAACTGTTTGGTTACCCGCATTCAAAAAAAATATCTTCTTTTGTGTTTAGCACAAGAAAGAAATTAATACAGGTTTGGAACAACATTAGAGTGAGTAAAAAATGACAAATTTATGTTTTTTTTTTTTTTTTTTGGTGAACTATCCCTTTAATTACAAGCTGCAGTACTTACCACTGTCGCTTTTAGACCAGCACGCGACGAGTTTAATGTCGACGCATATTACAACAGATTTTCTCTCAAATGTTTGCTTTCGACATAGCCAATTCTGTTTATGTAAACATTGTGTGTATTTAACAGCATTAGCATAACTCGAAAGATAACTTAGTCCAGTACTCAGGCGCTGTTTGACAGGCTTCTGGTGCCTGTGAGCGTCGAGGGTATGCGCTCAGGAAAGCGCACGTTAGAACAACGCATCATCACGTGAATTAAATGTTTAACCGGCAAGGCTTATGCAAATAATGAACTTTGGTGAGTTGCAGTGTCCCGCACCTATTCATTCACGTGTGATGATGTGTAGGCTACGTCGCGTTGTACAGATAGAATGCACTGTAACACGACCGTGGCAGGCAAAGAAGACATTTCAGCCGATACGAATCTCCCTTAACTTCAGTGAATTCAAACATATCCTTGAGATATGGCCATGGGTGATCTCTGTCGGGAATCTCGGGATCATTTCTGCTGACAGCGAGAGCTGCTATACTGTTTCTGCGTCATCTTCCACTGAACTGCTATGTGAGCGAGCGTGCTGGCAAAGAGCGCGAGCGCGTGCGGTTTTTTTTTTCTCAATGTTTTTTATTGGTTTCTCGGAGCGGGCACGGGGAAATGTATCGGAGTAAAAAGTAAATTTTGCCTTTAATATTGTAGTGGAGTAAAAGTGAAAGTAGATGCAAATAAAACATACTCAAGTAAAGTACAGATCCCCCAAAAAAATACTTAAGTAGAGTAACGAAGTATTTTTACTTCGTTACTTACCACCACTGTGTGTGACTGACCTCCTGTATACATTATGTGTGCATTTATGATACAACAAATGACAACTCCACCACTGACCTATAGCCAGTTGTCACAACACATTAGTGTTTCCAAGGAAACCGTACACACAGACCTATGAGAGACTGTGTAAGTGCTAATAGTAAAAGACAGTCCAATCCAGACACGCACACACACACACACGCTGCATTTTTGAATGCATTAAATAAGCCTATCAAGAATAAAGGGATAATACACTTCAGTATACATATAGACAAATAAGTTTGACAGAAAAACAAACTCACCCAATTTTATTAAACCGAACCTAGAGAAATAGTTCTGAAATTAACCCTAATAAGAAGTTCAGAGGATAAAAACCCCCACATGATAATCAAACCATAACTGACTAATTAAAAGCAGTAATAACAACTGGACTGGTGATACTCAAAATTGTATGTATTCATACAAGGGATGCACTAATTGTGACTTTCTGGCCAATACAATACTCAGCTTATAATTGTTAATTAACAATGGTATTCTATGTGCGATAACACTCTTGAGAATAAGTACTTATTACATAAAAATGGGTTGAAAGACCATTTTGAGTGGGTTGCAGAGTGTGTAGCCAAACAGAAACAAAAAATTGATGCAAGACATTCATTTTGAAAGGCATGCTAGAAAGCTGTTCTGTAAAGATTTTGCTCTAAGCAGCATCTTGTGCAAGACATGGTTCAGTATCTGCTGTCAGATGAGATGATGTCAGGCTGTATATCATTGTCATTATTTTAATGTTTGTTTTCGTAACTTGAAGTGGTTCACACAGAATCTGTTTTTGCGGTTAAAATTAGTGGTCGACCGATATATCGCCATGGCCTAGTTTTTCTGTTTGGCCCAATGTGTTGGAAGTGGGACTTTTATAGTGCTCCAGTACACTTTTATTTTGACGGGCAGCGCAAAATATCACACAGTGCTCACTCACATTCTCCATCTTCATTAGTTTACGAACTCTGTCAGCCATATGGACCACAATGGAAACAATGTTTTTATCCTTTTGAACACTTCATGTTGATTGTTGTTCAATAAAGTTTTCAATCAATCAATCAATCAATATCTAATAATTTGTTACACAGAACTGAGAAAGTAAATCATTTACTTTCTGTGAAATGGTATGTGAAAAAGTGTTGCTTTTATATTATTTGTAACAGAAAAGGCAAACAATCATATAATAAAATACTTTATCATTTATCGTCAACATTCAGCAAATGCGCATCTACATAATTTAAACACATTTCGGAATATCTAATAAACATTTAATTTCACAAACCTTGCAGATTTAATCGAATCTACCTGTGAGATCTTGTGAAGTGTGCATTATTAGTCTGCGTAAATGTGTTACTGCGAGTGACAGTCGGTCCGTACGAAGTGTCAATGTGAAAAACTTTAAATTATTTTTTAGAGCTTTCAAACTCGTTCAACACCCTTATTAAAGTCCGTGTCCACACAATACGTTTTCGTTTGAAAACGTATAGGCTATTTTTCCCTCGGTTTGGCCTTCCGCCCACACTGAGACGGCGTTGTGAGTCAATGAAAACGTATCTTTTGGAGAACGCACCCCAAAGCGGATATATTTAAAAACACTGTTTTTGCGTTGTCATGTGATCCATGTTGTACCAATAGATATTCATATACCGATATTGTGCCTGTTATGTGCTATTCACATTTACGCTGTTGCTAAAATATGCTACACACTCTTCATATCACAGTCCTGCACAGATGACAGAAAATGTGCTCAAATTTGCTGTCCGCAGCAATACAGGAGAGCAGTTGCATTTTAGACCAAACATATGGTGACTGAGTCCGACCTGAACCCATCAGTAATGGTGAGATATTTTGCTAAATAAAATCCTGTTTGAAGAATTGCGCGATTATTTACTTTTTCCATCTGTATCATCTCGGTGAGCTTTTATGAGGTTTTACGCATGCGCAGTATTACAAAGGGTCTAAAAGTATTTGGCCAGACTTTTAATATTTAAAAGGTGTGTATGTTACAACCATTTAATTTTAAGTGATTTTAAAACAGCCCATAAAGCTCTTCAACTCAAACACTGGGGTGAACATGGCAGATAACCTAAATGTGTCTAGGTACTGGCTGGCAGAACAACTGATGTGCTGGAGGCAACCATTAAGGGCAAAGGGTAACCAACCAGTTCTTATAACAATTAAACATCAGAGTATTAGTTTACTGAAAGAAAAATATGATTGGACAGCTATGTGTGCC